TTTTTTTTTATCTTATCCTATTAGAGTTATTCCCTTTAACCCGCGATCTAAACATATCATTAGAGATGGTCTAGTGGTCAGGTCTACCCTCTTGCAAACAAAAGGTCTTAAGTTTGATACTTCTCACACCCTCAAAGGGCCAACCACCCTTGCTCCTTAGGGGACATGTTCTTAAAGTAGTTCAAATTACGGTTATCAGCTCAGAACTTGAAGAAGTAATCAACATAAACCTGAACACCCTATAACAAAAAAAAAGAAAGAACTCTATAACCAATTACTCTTATTTTCTCTTTTGAACAACATTAGACTTTCAGGGGATAACCCAACCCTACTTCCTCGGTATTTTTTTCCATCTTGCTCTCACACACCACACAATCCAGCTGCCACCTCCCTCTACCCAACAACTCTAAGGCACAATTGAGGGTATTAATAATGCATCTAGTGTGGTTTTGTGTGGGTGTGTCTTATTGTGTGTGAAAGGAAAAAAAATAGAAAAGAAATGAAGGAGAAGTAATGTGCTTAGGTCTAGGTTTAAAGTTGTTCATATGAGAAATAGTAGTGTTTGAATATAGGAATGGTAAAAAAATCACCTAACTACTCTCAATTATAGTTGACGTGCCCAGATCCAACTATACTTGGGCCTAGTTTATGGGTTTAGCTCAAATCATCAAAAGACATGTCAGACTTAGCTCATGAGCTTAGTTCAATTCAAAGCCTAAGAGTTTAGAAAGAGTCAACGCACGTGGGAGACAAGGATTAAAATTTTGTTTCGGTGTGTTGTTTTGGTCACCTAAGAAACGGAAAAATTTCGATGTGTTTCGGAAACGTTTCAACCTGTTTTGAAAACATACTGAAAAAAATAAAAAATTTAAGAATTATTTTTTTCAAACGGTGATTGAAATATATCAATATATCTTGAAATACCTTAAAACATTCTAAAATAATTGTGTAAATATATTAAAATATTATAAAACATCTCGAAACATTATGGAATACATCAAAATATTATAATTTTGATTTCATTACTGTTTCATTTCGGTCTCCTTGAAACCGAAAACGTTTTGGACGTTTCGACCGTTTCAAAATGATATTTTGATCCTTGGTGGGAGAGCAATCATCGGGATAGTCATTACTCCAAGATAGTGCATATCCTCAATTATAGTTATCCTCCAGAGAAATTAGTAGTCTNAAATAATTTTTTCGTTCTTCAAAAAGAAAAGTGGAAAAGAAATATCAAATTCTAGTTTTGAACCTTTGAGTCTAGTAGAAACAACAACAAGTGTTGATATTCGTATGATTCTTGCGGCTATTGAACCTCAACCTCAAACAAAAGTTCTAAGCAATCGATACATATTCAATAATAGATGTTGATGGGTTAAGCCCAAGTAGTCCAATTTATGTATTAAAGCCCAACCCCGGTTGAGGAGCCCAACCTCATCGTGAATCCACCAAGCCAAAGGAGCCCAAGGCCGGTTAGACTTCTTGCTTAGCACGTCACCAAGAGGAGAGCACGGGAAGTTTATCTGCACCGCCTTAAGGAGCCCAAGGCCGGTTAGACTTCTTGCTNAGATGTCTTTTGTTCTACGAAGGATTGAAGAGGCCAATTTCATTAGTATGTATTTATGAGTTTACATTTGTATTATTAAATATATGTTTATGAGTTTACATTTGTATTTTATTAGTCGTATGAATGTTTAACTTAGCCCGGAATAAAAAAAAATCTTGGCTCCGCCCTTGGTTCCTCTACTCAACCTCCTTCGACAAACAAATGCCTTAAGAAAAAGATCCTCAAATCTTTGCCCAAGCTCACCTACGCCTCCAGTGAGGATGACGCTAGAAAATTTTCTGATTGCACGATTTGCTTGATGGAATTTGTTGCTAGAGATGAAATCTGAGTGTTGCCACAGTGCGGACACGGATTCCATGTAGGAAGTGCTATTGTTTTGGGATTAATTTTGTGACGACGACGGTTGTTAGACTTGGGCGGCAGACGATAATGACGGTGCTATGTGACTGGGGCAGTAGGGGTTTGGTGTCGTCGGGTTAGAGATAGAGAAAGATATTTTGTGTTGAGAGGAGAAACAAAGATATATTGTATGTTGGGACTTTGTTTTGGGTGTGTGTGAGAGATAAAAGAAGAAGAAAAGGCTAAGGAAGAAAAAGAAGTGTGTTTGGGTCCATGTATATTGTTGTTCAAAGCAAGAACAATAGTGTTTGGCTGTAGACATTGTTTTCCAAATTAGGAACACAATAATGTTTGGCTTTAAGGGAGTGTTTGAAGTGACATAAATGTCCCTCAATATTGACATGTGCCATGCACATGACATTTTTCCGTCGTTTTTTTGGACGATAATTAGTGTCAAAGACCACATTAGTTGAATGTGTGAATTTTGAGGATTAAATTGATGAAATTACAATTTTAAGGACCAAAGTGCAATGAACATTAAACCTCGAGGAACATTGGTGGCAAAAAAAATTTCAGCTCCCCTTGGGTTTCATTTAACTCATGTAGATGGGTTAAAGTTAATTTTTCAAATCAGGTTGGAGTAAAATTTGAATGGGATTTTTTATGTGTTGTTTACTTACCAAACGTGGGATTATATAGGCTGCAAATATTTTTTTTTATCTTATCCTATTAGAGTTATTCCCTTTAACCCGCGATCTAAACATATCATTAGAGATGGTCTAGTGGTCAGGTCTACCCTCTTGCAAACAAAAGGTCTTAAGTTTGATACTTCTCACACCCTCAAAGGGCCAACCACCCTTGCTCCTTAGGGGACATGTTCTTAAAGTAGTTCAAATTACGGTTATCAGCTCAGAACTTGAAGAAGTAATCAACATAAACCTGAACACCCTATAACAAAAAAAAAGANGGGCTTTATGGTCAATCAGAGGGGAATTGAGGCAAACCCTGACAAGATCAAGGTCATTCTTGAC